ATGTTTCTACCAGCCGTTCGTATTGTCAGGGGATGCATTCGCATTCAACTTTATTTGTAAATGCACTGTATAATATTGAAGTGGAAGATGGGTCGTAGAAGGGGCCTACAGATTAAATGAGGTTCACACAAAGGATGGGGCCCAATATTCCTTTAACAAAAGTTGGGGGAAGGGAAAACATGTAAAAAATTGATTTTAAACCCATGACCCATAAAACAAATATACATTGCCTACCTGAAGGCTACCAAGTTTCGAGGTATGTTTATAATCGATCATCACTTTCAATGTATCATTTGTGACTGCATGGTTCATCAGTTACAGATATAAAAACAAAAAATAAATACTCATTTCTCACTTATTCTACTAAAAATGGCCTAACAGATAGCACACATTTTTAAAGGTCTGCATAACTGTCTTATTCATGTTACACAGATAAAGAAAGCATACAGCCTTCCTCAAACAGCACAAGGTTCATTCTGAGTTTTGTGTAAAAATTATTAAGGGGATGGACATGCACTTTCTTGAACAAACAAAATACATTCCTTCTCCCTGAAACCCTTGTACAGCTGGGGTAGTCATTATTACTGAATCATGCTCCTCCACATCACAAAAAATTACAGTATTATCACCAGAGGCAGTCAAATCACCACACACAAGCCATCATGTGAATTAACTTCTAAAACCACATTTCTGCTTATCACACTGTAATTTGAGACATACAAACTTGCCATCTTGTAAAGTGGCCATGTGGAAAATGTGGTATTAAAAGCAGAAATGATGGCATTCAGACTAAAAATGTTCAATATTTCAATTAATTTTTCCTTCATCTATGGTCTCCATTTGTAAGACAGAACGGTGAACATCAATGTGGAGAATATGGTAGTCGCAACAGACAGGCTACTTATGTGGCTCTGAATGTGGTGATAAAGCAAATTGCTTCACAGTATCACTTACTTAAATTCATGAACCCAATGCAGCATTTTCTTATCCTTCTCATCACAAAGATGCACGTAGTCACCACCAGCATGCCATGGGTAGAATGAGTGGAATCTGCATAGTAAAGTTCATATTAATCCACACATATAACTCCATGGAGCAGAGCCCTTGAGAACCTAATAATACACTCAGCTAGTCAAAACAAAATTGTGGTTTATTTTGTGTCTAACCACAGTCTTGTTGGCTCTCATTGGAAAGTAATATATACAAACAATGTTACCTTCACATGTCCATCAATTGTAAAGATACATCATTTTCTTAAATTTTCCCCTTATTCTGACACACTAAAATGCTTATAAGTCTGGTTCTAATTAAGATAGAGAACTTATTCTTATACCAATTGCAAGCTCTTAAGTTGTGGCTTTCATACGGCCTCCCACTCATATTTTAAGGCACATTAACATTTTTACTTTAACCTTTGACATCTATTATAAAAATATATTGCCAGATTTATGCAAGTTTTCCCACAACAATTACTGATATTTCATTACATCTTTGGGAAACACCATGTTGGGACATGAAAGTGATGAGAAGATATGTGCCATCTTCTTCTGGTGATCTTACGCTACACTGAATGGTTAGGCATGATGAGCCACGTTGTAACCTGCAGAGACAAGCTGCATGGCAACACGACTCTTCCGACCTTTCAGTTCACACCTGATTCCAGTAGAGTTAAGTTGTATCCCCTTGTGTGGCAAGTTCTGTGGTGCTTCTGTCAAGTACATAAAAAAAATCCTCCCAGCTAAGACTGAATCTTCCAATTAGCTACTTCCCTTCCTTTAGGCCAACCAAAATTTTGTATGCATTTTTAATCTTCCCATGCATGCTACATGCCCCACCCAAATCATCATCCTTTTACTCCATTTGATCACCATACCAATATCTGGCAAAGAATGTAAATTATAAAGTGTCTCATTATGCAGTATTCTCCAGCCTTTACATTTCCAGATAGCAGCCAGGAAGACAAAAGATTGTAACAAATTTTTGGTTTATCTGCATGTCAATTTTCACACACTATGTTCAGGCCTAACGATGGCCAGATTTGTTTGAAACATGTTGTTCAAGTGAACAGACAGTGAACAGTGTGTGTAAAAAGTGACACACAGAAAAACCGAGAATTAATTTGTTCATAAGATCTTTTTGAATAAAACTTTGTTCTGTTATTATCATTTCCAAAAAATGGCTGTCTTTTTATGATTTTGTCTTGCAGTGTGGTAATGACATGAGCATATATTTAATTTTCTCTGCTCTTACTTTAAACCAACCTTCTTATTAGCATATAACACAGCTTTAATGTTTTTTTTTCCATTATACTTTTTACCAATAAATTAAAATCATCACCATAGACCAGAAGCTGACGAATCCCATTCAATTGTATTTCCACCAGGTTTTCTAGGAATTTCCTGATGGTGTGTTCTTACACAAAGTTGAAGAACAACGGCAATAAAGTATCTCCTTGTTTCAGACTATTTAGAAAAGGAAATGCATCAGTCAAATATTTATGTAGGCATTACTATAGGTTTAATTTAAACATATTTCAATTAATCTAAATATTTACATGGGTATACCAAATTCATTGAGAATGTTGTCAATACTTCCCTCCTAATTGAATCACAGGTCATCTTCAAGTGTATAGGTAGCTGATATAATAGCCCACTGTACTCTCCTAATTTTTCTGTTTCTGATGAAAGCAGCTACAGTATTACAGTAATACAGAAACTGTTTAAAAGTAGTTGTTATCATACGTCGAATGTGGTCTTCTGGGTTGTGACACTATGTGGTCCTACAGGTAGTCACCAACTTTTAGAAGAACATTTTATCTCCATCTTCACATGGAATCACAACTGAGAAGACCATGATCAAAATCTTCTTCACCACTAGAAGACGAAATTTTAAATGGTTTAACATGTGCATCTTTCACCATCTTCAGTATCAGGACAAAATGATAACTGGATTCTTTGAAAATGTTTCAGAGTTCAAATACTTGGGACCAAATACAACAAATCAAAATATTTATGTAATTAATAGCACATTAAATTTGATAAATGCTTACTACCATTAGTTCAGAATAGTTCAGAATCTTTTATCCATAACACTAGGATAAAAGTGTACAGAACTATAATTTTGCCTGTTCTCTGAAACTATTATATATAAATATCAGGGAGAATATCTGTTTGTCCTATCCAGGCATGGCGTATCCTACAATGTGCAATCACTATGTTCACTGCCATGAGTCCATGTGAGTCAGCAGTGATGGGGTAGGAGGAAGTGGTACATATTTCTATGTGACGTTCGTGCATGAGTCAGTGTCATTCAAGATCCCTTCGTATATAAGTTTATACTGCAGCACGGACCTTATGTGAAGTGTAACTCACTAGGAAGAGTCAGAGGAAATTCAAAAGAAAGTTTCCCAGGGTTTGATTTCCCAACAGAAATATTATTCATATGATCTTTGCAATAAAGTAAGAAATGACATGTTAATGAACAGGAAACTGACATTTTGTTGTCAAGTACTGATAGAAGAAAGGTTAGATGAAAACTTTTAAATACAAGTTAGCTGATCGAAAGGAAATTTAACAAAATTTATGATACCTTCTTTACACTGTCTCAAAATGCATGTGCGCCTACATATATGTTGTTGAGACCTTCCGGTACAGCCCTACTCTTCATTGTCAGTTTAACCATGGTGTGAACTTCAAGGTCGAGATGCATGACAGACAGTGATAGTGTGATGGATTCAGATGAAAGTAATGATAATGAAAAAGAAAATGTATTTTCTTTATTTGTTGTCTAGTTAAAGAAAAATTTTCAATAGCTCAGACTATACAGTGCCAAATGATAGGATGACAGTAAATTGGGAAGGATGTGGAGGGAAGCAGTTGGGGCCTAATTTAAGGTACTATCCTGGCACCTGCCTGGAGGGACTGAGGAAAACCATAAAAAACCTGGTGAGGATAACCAGTCTCCAGGCCAAGATTGGAACCCGTGACCTCCTGAATACGAAGCAGGAGTGTTAACCACTCGATCACGATGTTCAGTAAGAGAATGTAATTAGTGTTCAAGATGATAATAGTCATTCTGATGGAACCAGTGTTAGCAAAGATGTGTGGGAAGATGATAAATAATATTGGGAAAAGGGAAATGTTTGCAGGAATTAGTGGACCTCAAGATAGTGCACAGAATGTGACTAAAATTGTGGACATTTTTACATTATTTTTAGCAAAACATACGCTGGACAGACTGTAGCAGAAATAAACCACTGTGCTCAGCAAAATGAAAATTTCAAAGGAAACTTATTTTCTGAAAGATCAAGGGTGAATGAATGGAAGTCTGTTATAGAGAATAAATATATGTCATTCTAACTTGCATTATTCAAAATCCAAGCTTGAAGATATTTTCATGTTATCAGCTGGTAGCCATATTTACCACTGTCATTTCTCTGGAGTGATCTGAATCAATTTGCAAGTTTTTACGTTTCACAGATAACAGTGCCAAAATTAAGATGAAGGTCCCCTAAAATTGTAAAAATCAATTCTAAAGCCTCTTTGTGTTATTGATTGTAACAAACACACACTAAGTCCTCACAAGCAGGATAAGCTGTTACATATGCACATCATAGAAAGAAATATAATGAATAAGCAGCATACGGAGCTCCTCCATAGAGTACTAAATGTGACAGTGTTGAATGCAAAGACAATATTCAGATAAAATGTAGACAGAAAGATGGACTTCCTGAAATTTAAAGTTTATTTAGTGCAGGGTCTTTTTTAGTAAAGAATTACAAAGAGCACAAAGTGACAAGTCCCAAGCAGATGACAACACAATAAGGACAGTAAGGACAGTGCAACATTTCCAAAGGAGAACACTTTCAACACAAAAGAAGTCAAAACCAATGAAATGGTGTTTTATGTGTACAAAGCATTGAAAAAGATGCGAAACTGTGGATGAGTGCCCCAGTTGTGAAGTGGCTTTGTGTGTGGATGAGTTTCAAGGTTATCTTTCGAAGCAATTTTTCTACAGTAATATGACTTGCATTTTTAATTCATTTTGCTTATATTTATTTATTAAAATAAATAGTAAAGATTTATTTAGTTCCCCTATGTAAAAAAGCAATCTGTATATATTTACAAAAAAATATTAAAATTCAATTAAAAAACAGAGAATGTGTGGCAATTTAAAAATCTTGTAATTTTCTAATTATTATTTCCCAAGACTAAATGTCCAGCAGAAAATTATCCTGCATCAGGCTCTGGACACAGATTAAATGCCTCCACAGTTAACAGTTTAAAAAAATATAAACAACACTAACCACAAAACCCACAAAATTATGCACTCTGGCAGCTGTCGGAAACAGTGCTAAATATGTTACGTTTGTGAGGAACTGTCTGCATTGATAATTTGTGGATTCCCATTAATAAAACGCAGTTCAGTGGATCAGTACATAAACTATTTATAGACTTTATATAAAGAGTGTAATTTAGCATATGCCGTACGATCTCAGGCTTTCATGGGACTAACATTAATATTATTATTGGCCATGTCAGTTGGTCAAAAATCATCATTTCAAGAAGCAGCCGATCCAAATTATCAGAACATGAAGCACTGATCCTTTAATCAACTGACATGGCAGATAACCTGAGAAGATTTTATTAAGTTAGTACCATGCTACTGAACATGTGCTTCCCTCAAAAGAATATAATAACCTAACAAAGTAGAGACTAGTCAATATTTCTAAATATAAGAAAATAATATGGAGGTGATAACAACAAATGTTTTTATATGGTTACTCAGTTACTTCATGACATTTTATCAACTGCCGAGGTTATGTAATGAATATCATATTGGGAGGTGCATGGGTCAAAATGGTCAGTGTCTCTTTTTTTCCTAGTATAAGACACAGAAATGTAGGAACACCTCAGACAAGATAGCCAATTGCCAACCAAGATTCAAACTGGGTACCTCTTCAATGGAGGTCAAACATATTCACCTCTTTCCCAATAAATTCTAATACTGTTCAGTTGTGTAGAGAATTACCACTAGACCAGAAGGAAACAGAATATGAATTTATGAACAGTGTTAATGAAAATAAAACAAGTCATGATTCAGAAATTATTCATCCCAAATCACATGATGAAAGTTTTTCATCCCTTCAACCTACAAAGTTAGAAACTAAGGATCAAGTTGCAACCAGAAGGTGATGTTTACCTGATCATATACAGTGCTTCTTCAGGAAGAGTTGTCTTATTGTGTTTGAGCACTTGATACATATACTCATCATGGCCCCATGACATGATTATGTTCTCCAGACCACAGTTTGGTTTGTAGATACCAAACTTCGTGCTGAAAATAACAACAATAATAAAGAATTAAAATCAACTCTGAATCACCATATTGTAGGGTTAAATATGGTTGTGAACTGGTTATACAGGGCATACATAAATTATCCAACTTTGCTTGTAAACAAAAACCTTTATGAGAAGGCATACACATGCTGTCTGAGCATCTTCTGTAAGAGAAACTCTAAAAGTTTGTTCTGAACATTACATGCATTCAGCATGGGCACCATTTGTCACACATTCAATGTCAAAACAATATTCAAGCTCCATCCATTTATGCTGTAGCACATCAAGATCAACTGTTGCAACGGCAGATGCAATTCTAACCTTCAGATCATTGAAGTTGGCCACTAGAGTTCAGTATGCACAATTTTTTACATATCCCCACAGAAAAAACTGAAAGAGTGAGATAACCAGTAAACTGGCTGGCCAAGAGATGGGACCAGCACGGCCAATCCATCGGTTTGGGAAATGCTGATGAGGAGACACGTGCACCATCTTGCTGGAAAAACACGGCAGGCTGAAGTTCTTGTAACTGTTTACAGAAAAAGTTTTCCAGCACATTTAGGTAATTGCTGGATGTCACAGTCAAATGTGTCATTTGCAACTCATGTCGACTTACGTGGACCTGTACCTTACTTGTGCAAAACACTTCTGGTATCCTGAAACTGTTTGTACCAGGCATGTACACATGATCTTGGTGGAGGCATCTTGTGATGATACGTTGTTCTGAAACATCTTTGGACCTGTATATCTTATTTCATTTTGATATACCATTCCACGCACTGTGCCTTCTCCTGAAAGTTATGGCGACTGACCTGATTCACAAAGATGGATGCAGTGCAGTAGAAAATAACAAGTGCTACCTTCTACTGGGAACTCAGTGGAACTCTGAGAGTTTCTGTCACAGATGATGCTCAAACAGCATGTCTATGTCTTCTCATAAAGGTTTCATTCATATGTAAAGTTGTAAAGACAATCTGTACTTCTCAAACAGTAAATTAAGCTGTGGGTTTCCTGTACTAACACATTTAGATTGCAGATGTACATTCCTGATGTAGAAGTGGGTTCCACATAACTTCATGTAGTTTGTGCCATAGTCAGTTGATGGATTTAATAATACTGAGGTATTGGTATGGAATACTTCAGCTAGTACGTGAGGAAAGGAAGTATTGACATTTCAACACATAAAACACAGGCTGACTTACTTGTACAGCAAGTTGTTCCCATCTGGATTGTTCTTAAAGCTGGTCTGTCTGTACACAATAGAATTTCCCCAAGCACAGCCCACAGGAAATGTGTCCCCCACCACTGCCCATTGTGGTTCACCATAGAACGCCATAATCTACCATTAAAACAGTTACACACGAACTACTGCATAGGAACTGTTCACAACACACCACTAACAGCACAGAATAAATTGTTATTTTATTAAATGCATATATAAAATACCCTGAAGTGTAAAGGAAGAGGTGTACATCAAGGACATTAGAAAACAAGATACTAAGGATAAACAAGGAAATTAAAAAATTGTGCTTTTCACCAAATACTATCAGAGTATGAGATGGGTGGAAAATGCAGTATGCATGGGAGAGATGTGAAATGTATACAAAGAAAAAGAAAGTCACTTCAGAGATGTAAATTTAGATGATGGGACAATATTAAGAAGTAGGGTGTGAACTGTATTCATCTAGCTTAAGGAGTATACAGTGGTGACCAACTGAAAATTATAATGAAACCTCACGTTCCATGTAAGATAGGAACACTCTTGACCAGATGAGTAACCACCAGATTCAAAAACTTTGCCAAATATAATTAGTTTCAAAGGCATAGTTGTGAGGATAATATTAAAATAAATCCTAGGAAAAGGTTGTCTTAAGTGAACAAGACTGAACTGGCTCATAGTGGATTTTGTAAATATGGTGACCAATCTTCAAGTTCTGTAAAAGCAGAAGATTTTTTGACCATCTCAATAAGGCTCTATTCACAGTAACGTTATGTAGTGTACATGAATGAGTTAGTTAAATTTTCTGTCCCTGTATTTTTTACGCGTATATGAAGAAGCATAATACAGTTTGAATTATGTAACGAGGGACAGAAACAGAATAGTACAGCTTGTCTACATTTTAAATGAAAACAGAGCATATTTACACAGAATTACACCAACTTCTTAGAAAGAAAGCTGCAATTTAAATTGATATTTTGTAACAATTACTTGGGCAACATTTGTACACACAGAATAATGCCTAGGTAAGATATTCATTATTAATGTCACCAAAGTTTGAAATATCATCATAAAGAGTGTGGTATGAAATAAATATGTATTTCCTCAGTCTCCAGTGTCTCTACTATTTACGTACTTCGCAATGTACTTGGTTATAATAAAGCTCCACCCAAATTGCCTGGGTACATCAATAGCAAATTTCATTATGATTAACTTAAAAAGTGATTTTCTATCAACAATATGCTCTTGAAAATTTTCTGCTCCTTTAAGATTCAATGTATGGTATTCTATACAACCAGGTTTCAGAACAAAACATGTGTTGGATGCACAGTTTCAAAACTGTGTCAACCAGCAAGCCAAATGTCATACCTTTCCGAGATCATGTAAAAGTCCCGTGAGATGAAACCAGTCCTCCTGTGGATAATCTGCACGAATACGTTCTGCCGTCTGAAAGGCATGCACTAAGTTTGGAATGTCTACATCTGGGTCACTCTCATCCACAAGATCATTAAGCTTCACAAGTGCATCCATAACTGTTGATTGGAACTTGTCAAACCTGAGCCAGTAGTCCATCTTTCCTGAAAAGGATAGAGTATAATTTATTGACTGTAATAAAACATGTTTGTGGTTGCACTAGAAGAGAAGAAATGCTAAACATTTCCAACACATGATTTGAATAAAAATTTCGCTTACCTTGATTTAAGTTCTATTTTAGATGTTCTGCTTGGAAATCCCATAAAAGTTATAAAGAAAAGAAATTAAAACTGCAATCTGCAGGTAGGACTGATATTCAGTGATATAATTTAGCATAAACCTAAGTTAATTTGTAAAACAAGATTAAACACGGAACAAAACGAAGATGGAAAGTTTTTGTAGTATATACCAGAATGCAGACCCCACATTCCTGAAAGAATTTAAAATAAAAAATATTTTAAAAACATGCATTAATTAAAATTAGCTGGCAATTAAAAGACAGTATTCATCAAGACTCCTAACATGGAATTAATTCATGCAAAACTTATTAATGATCCACAAGTGTGTTGCAAAATAATTCAATTCAATTCTTTATTATTAGTGTGCTGTATCAACAGCCAGAAGGCCAATTACAGACACAGCACAGAGAAGAGCACACAAACACAATAAAAACATAAAAGGTAAAACAAGCAGAATATAAAATACATTAATTATATAAATAATTACTTGTTTTCTTTGCTTCAAAAAAAGCAATGGGAAAACTGTGATGCCCTTCTTGCCTTTAGATCCTTATAAACATGCACAGAAGCCAGAGGAATGGTGTACCCTACAGAGTATGCAAAACTTACAATTGCATTCCGTATGCCATATCTGAAGGATGGGATAATCTTTCCTAAGGTAACTGATAAAGGGCAGCATGGGTGATTATGTCACCAGTCGTTGCAAAGAATCATGAGTAATAACATCATGGAGAATAATCTTCCCACCTCATAACTTCAAATATCCATCATCCATGTTGGTATTGCACAAAATTATAACATGAGTTTGAAATAGACTCCAATGGGACATCCATACTAAATTTTACAAAAATGTGTCAAGCCGTTCTGAAGTTATTGCTATCATGGGCAATAACGTAACAGACAATGATTTCATCATTGGTGATGTCATCAGTTATCATAGAGTATCATGGTTAATGGCATTATAGGGGATTTCAAGTATCTACCACATTAGTAATATTGACTGTAGAAAATTAAAAAGAATGAGTTTGGACTAGATTCCAATGGCATAACCTCCATACCTAATTTCATGAAAATCCTTTAGATATTCTCATAAAGTCAATTCATTGAAAATTATTATTGGCTATTATTTCAAAAATTAAACATTTGCGTCCCCATGTTCATAGGAACATTTTTTCTTATTTTTGATCCTGGAACATGCACATGAAGTTTGTAAACATACTTCTGACTCATCCTGTGTGTGTGTGTGTAGAGAGGTAGAGAGAGAGAGAGAGAGAGAGAGAGAATTAGTAGTTCATAAAACCTCTTACAGATGGCAGCACAATATCTGCTGAAAGGCAGAACGTACCCATAAAGTGTTCTTTGCTTACACTAAAGTGTAAAGAACAGTTACATAATTCTTCGACACAAAAAGTTTCACATAAACCTGTAAATATTTTTTTAACTTGTAATCACATACTTAGGTGCCTAACAATTTATCACTTAGTCATTAAACAATAAATACATTTTACTCAGTAATAATTATGTTATGTTTGCAATATCTTTAATACAAGATTTGTATTTTTCAAAGACTTTTCAATAAACAAAATTTTAATGTTCTACTGCACTTCCCACCCAAACATTTGTATTATTTTAGGGAAATGATCATGTTAATGGCATAGAATGAGAGGTTAGTGCTTTCATAGTAGGTTTTATGAAAATTACTACTTAGTTCAGAAGTTACTAGGTAGTCACACATGAACAGACACATAAAACTCCTTTTACTGCCAATGTTACAAACGCATGGAACTATGTCCACTGCTCCATAAATCTACATGGCATGGTGCTTACAATTAGTTAAACACCAGAGACAATTTTACCTTTTGTGTGTGTGCATATAAGCACCAGTAGGTAAAAAATATTTAAATATTTGTCCTCCACAGGACCCCTTCCAGTTCAATCAGAATCTGTGTAACTGAATTACAGTTATGTAAATCAAGTAAAACAATTCTGATTTTTATTTTTGATAGGCATACTTTAGAATTTCATTTTAAACAATGACTGTATTAAAATTTTTAGTGCATACACTTCCTCTTTCCAGTCACCTTAGTTATGCTTTTTGCTTACCTCTGACAAAGTCAACAGTCTGATAGGTGTGCATCTTGTGATATGTAACACGGACCCTCTCCTTGATAGGATCTTCTGGGTCCACTGAATAATCTCTGAACATACCAATGGGCTTCGTGGCAAATATGGGCTCAGGCCGCAGCAGGAGCGAAGGATCCATCACATCCACAGGTTCACAAGCTCCCTGCTACATATTACAATGATTCAAAATAGTTCACATGATGAAATTATTAATTAGAAAACTAAAGCAGAGACTTCACTCACATTAATGTTCTCACAAGGTAAAAACAAAGTTCTGTCATATACATGGAAAAGAAATAATATGGCTGTCTTATGGGTTCTTGCGCTGTGTAGTCTGGTAGTTAAACAATCGCCCTGATGATGGAGGCAGCAAGGACCTCTGAAATGTCTGTAAACTTCTACCAGACTACATTTCACAAACCAGAAGACAACCATCTTCAGACTCACCACCACAAAAACCTCAAATCCTACATGGCAAATAAATGTTTCATAGGTGAGATTTTAGGTTCTCATGGTGACATTTATGAAAACCACTGTTGTGGGATGTTGCAGCGTAGTCTGGTAGAAGTTTACTGACATTTCAGAGGTGTCTGTTGTATCCATCCTCAAGGTGATGAGCAGGTGGTTACCTTCCATGTCACATCTTTCAGCAGGGATTGTGCTGCTGTTTTCTGAACTACATATTCTGCCATGTAACTTGAAAATAACTGAAGGAATTTTAATTTTTGGTGTAGAGCTTATGCCACTGGAAACTAGTCCAAACTTGTATCATACATAGGTTTTAATGGCTGGAGTTCAAGGTATAACTTCGGCTTTCGGGCGACAGTCACGTGGAATATTTGGTGTTAACCAACATTTCAACAAACACTGCAGTTGCCATTTTCAAGATGGATACAGGATGGGGTCAGCTCAGAAGGCCAGATTTTTGATGCAGCTCTCAACCAAAAGCCAAGTTATACATTGTATCATACATGTAATTTACTACAATCAGTGATACTAATGACAGATACTTGAAGTCATGAAGATGGAGAATGATTGTCCCTTATAATGCCATTATTCATTATCCTCTTCAACAAACTGTCCTGATGATGGAGGCAGCAAGCACCTCTGAAACCCTAGTAAACTTCTATCAGACTAGATGGTGCAACATCCCAGACGACAGTTATCATCCAAATATACAGCATGTTCCTGTTTCTTTATGAACTAACGCTTTGGTAAAATTTTCCTCTTTCACCTTAATTACTGGTTTCTTTTAAATTACGGCAGGTCTTAATAAAACTAAATACGAAAATGTTCACACCTTCACAAAGTAGAAGTGATTACTATTAAAAAAAGCCTGCACCTAAATAAAAGCAGCCAACTACCAACCAAATCAACCATCAAATTAGTAAAATATATGGAATATCAAAATCTGATAATTAAATTTAATACTCACCACTACCTTCATGACTGCACTGTACCAGTAAATATCTGAAATACTGTTAATACATGATGTTTTATATTCACTTCTAATCAGCTGAACTTTGGACAGGAGAAGGGGAAGGGGAGGAGCTGAAAACATTTCAATCCGCTCTCTTCCGTCATTACTTACGCACATTCATGTAGCTGCAAAAGAGATAAATGTTCGACATGTGCAACAGGGATGTGATATGTATCACAGTTTCAATTCCAAATTAAACATAAGAAGGCACATTCTTTACAGCGCAACTTCACCTTATCTTTTGTGAATCACTGTGCAATAGGCACTGTCAACTTTCATGACCTCATGAGGTCAAAGGTGAGCACTCTAATCAATAAGTTGCAGGGGGTGGGGAGCTAAATATAAATATTTATATTTAATGTCATCAGTTATTTCAAAAGACAGACAGACAATGTCACAAGTTTAGAAAATTAATCATGAGTGTGGAGGCACCAGACAGCACATTATGAACATACTTTATCACATGCAGAATAATTCATACAACAGATTATTTTTTGAGGATTTATATGATCAAAAAATGGCAGTAGTAGAGAACAGCATACATTAACTTGACAACCTAAGAGGCATGATTTGAGGTTTTCGTGGTGGTTAGTCTGGAGATAGCCGTCTTCTGGGTTGTGAAATGTAGTCTGGTAGAAGTTTACTGATGTTTCAGAGGTCCCTGCTGCCTCAACCATCACCCTGATAATGGAGGCAGCAAGGACCTCTGAAACAATAGTAAACTTCTACCAGACTACATGATACAACCACCCAGAAGACAATCATCTTCAACCTAAGAGGTGTTTCAAGGTAAAACAACAGGCACACTTTGGAAAAAAAAAGAGGGGGGAGAAGAACAAGATATATTGTATATACTATATGCCAAACTATAAGGAGATTGGTGTAGCATTTCTCAACCAGTTTATTCAAGAGTTTCAGTTATTACAGAATACAGGGAAATGTTTCAATCAATGTCAGGAGTTTGCAGTGCACAGTCAAGAACAAACATCAGACATTCCCAGAAATGCACTGATGGTTGAGTTATCCTGGCTGGTAATCCCACAGCAAGAAACATCATGACTGAACTTTTTCATGCTGCATGCCGGCCTGCTCCATCACTACCTTCATTAAGAGTACAAAAATTATAAAATGCTAAAATTTGTGTTTCTACCACTAGATGTCAGATGCATGCAACATGTAATCTGCCAGGTCCTGTCATTTAATTTCAAGTGTGATTTCTATTAAAAAAAGATCAGTCCTAGAATTTATTGTATACTCCACCTATTTTAATGAACAATTTGCAACTCATAAACAATGCAGTGGAATCTTGTACAAACTAACGCATATTTTCTAAGATAGTAACTCATTTTGTCATCATTAGAGAATGCTGGTCCCAAATAAAAACATGTGGCAGTGATCTGAACTGGGAGCTTGCAGCGTTACCTCGTGATCTGTAAAAGGAACAGAACAACAGTTCTGATAAAGCTGACAAAATCAGCTGGAAACAAAGCAAATGTTTTGTAACATTTGTATTGATTCATGACTTATTTCTACAGACTTGGAATCAACGTAACATTTGGTGTTGAAACAGTCATAATGAATGCAAATATGTTGCACATCATTGGGAATCCTTGGATCCCACTGCTGTGCAATAATGGATCTCGAGTTTTAACCATTGTGAAAAACATTAGACAGATAGAAAGACATGGATGGGCCCATGTGTTCCTTGCTCATGTTGGAGTTTGAAGAATGCCAAAAATGTGAAGTATTTCTAGAAAATGGTAATGATGCCTATTCATAGCAGGAAGGAGTAAATCAGGAGTTCTCAACTTTTTCCAGATAAAGGGCCAAATTCACACTTGCCTATCATCTCGTGGAATGCAGGCTTATAAATCAGAACAATTTATTGAAACTTCATGGATATAAATTACAAGTGTTACTTAGTTCTTATTATAAACAGATTAATTTATCACTTGAATGTTCTCTTCAAAATTAGTCATTAGTGAGATACCTCACAATACTTTTACTTGATTAATGTCCCAATGTCGGATTAAATTTCTGTTGTAATTCGCACGCATCCCTCGAAGCGTCTGTCAGTAAGACATCCTAGTTCTTGACTGCAATGGAGTGCCTATTACCAAGTACATTAACAAGACCTTTTCTCTCATACCAGGGATCTATTCTTCATCATACAGGTTAACACTGCAGGTCTTACAAAAATGTACACTGGCTGCACAAAACTCATCAAAGGGCTGTGGGCTGAGAACCCCTGGAGTAGACACACCACAAGAAGAGCAGCGGCAATGGCCACCTCAGACTTGAGACAGCAGCAATGTCCATACATAACACCTTAATTGCACCGACTGTTTCCGAGTTTTCAGCAGAAGTTATAAAACTGCTAGAGATGGAGACAACCATTACTAGCTCAGAGCAGCAACAACAGCAACCATTCTCTAATGAGGGTCTGCCATCTCGGACTAGAAACATCAGAGGTGTCCAAAAATCTACAGAAGGTCCTTGTGGAAAGAATATCACTGATGCACCATACATAAATAACAATTCAAGTTCACTGACTCTTTTCATGTTTTATTTTTTTGTTTTGTCACCCCCCCCCCCAAAAAAAAAAAACACTCTGC